CAGCACTAGTCCTACTACACGTAAGCTCATTCAATTAAATTTGGTTGCCAAACGGTCCAAAATCTATTTGGTATGTACCCTCATTCACGTACCGTCGATTAAATAAATGCCAAATGAAATCTACTTCTATTCATCAATTTCACAATACATACTTTCGTATTGCGAAATTTAATTTTGTCTTTTGTCAGATGGACTTTTGTTGGGCTTAAATGGAAAGTTTTTACTTTTTATCATCATTGATTGCCAGTGACTTTACTTGGCGCTACACTCTGGTGCTAATGGTACAATGGATGTCTGATGGTTGTATGTAGGCACGTAGTTACTTTCAAATGTCACCTATTGAATTTTCGCTATAATTGGGTTTTGTAGTCAAGTACTCGAGTAAATATTTTTCAACAGTTGCCAATTTATTTTCACAATTCATGTGATTTGATTTCTTTGATTGCATAAAAAATATAATATTAATAATTTATAATATACATGAAAGAGAAATTTTTTTAATTACTTAGATAGGTAAGCAGTGAACACATTTTTTGTTAAACCTGAAAAGATGTAAGAGCGGAGCTACTATGCTAAGGGCGGTTATGTAAAAATCCCCAAATTCAGTAGGTTTTCATCAAAAACTGGACAGTACTGGACTATCTCTGGAAAGTAAACTATAGGACTGCTACTAGATACTCAGTTCACTGGGAACACGTATGAGTTAAACTCATCTGTCAACAGCTATCGATCTATCTAAGTCTTTCTTCCTTCGAGCCCAAATCATAAGAGGATCATAGTAAACTATTATTCGCGAACCAATGATAAGAGGCTACTCTCAAATGATCAGTATGCCTATCAGAAGAGAAAATGGACAGAAACAGCACTTCATGGACTAGTTACCTTCTTTAAAAAATCTGTCGCGCCTTCATATGTGCAGAGTAGGTTATATCAACCACCTGCTACTAAGCAGGGTTATAACCGCTTATCATGAAGGAGAGCAAGTATCCAGATATATAAGAAGATGTACAGACACAGGGCGAAGTTCGCTCGTCATTACTCTTGAACCTCAGGGTAAACGTAAACGGAATTGGGTGGAGGCAAAGAAATATTATTACTACTGCATGTTTCGTGTTTTCACGAACCCTTTGTGACTTGGTGCAGCGTATTCCTAGGCNGACTATCTCTAGAAAGTACACTATAGGACTGCTACAAGATACTCACTTCCCTGGAAACACGCAGACTCCTATGAGTTAAACTTATCTGTCAACGGCTATCGATCTACCTACGCTGGACAGCTTACAGAATCTCCAAGATGGGTCACAGGTATACATTCGTTTTTTGCATGGTTAGAATTTAACAATATACCAATGATATGGAGATGTGTTTCAGTTGTCTTCATTCCCAGAGCAGGAAGAGTCCCAAATCATTAAGAGGAACATTAAGAGGATCATGATAAGAGGCTGCTCTCAAATGATCAGTATGCCTAAAGAAGAGAAAATTGACAGAAACAGCACTTCCTGGACTAGTTACCTTCTTTCAAAAATCTTTCTGAAATTTAGAATTGGGAATTGGGTGAAGCCAAAGAAATATTATTACCTCTGCATATTTTCACCAATCCTTTGTGACTTGGTGCTGCATATTTCTAGGCTGTTTGATGTGGTCTTTAACACAGAGCAAACAAAATAAAACTAGCTACTCGGAGATATAAGATCCCCGCCAGTATTTCACTTAGTCTGAGACCAAGTTTCTAAGAGTCATCTTAGACAAGAAACTAAACTGAAATGATAATAAATAGGCCGCTTGTGCCCTCTATACATGCAAAAGAAGGAATGGTCTAAACCCCAATATTTGCCGATGGATCTGCGTATTAGTAGTAAGACCAGCGCTACTTTACGGGGCGATTGTGTCGTGGCTAGTTTTATACACAACTTCAAATACCAGTTTGGTGAATCAGATTCAAAGTTGTGAGTTAATGTGTATCAGAAGTGCAGCATAACCGCACTTTGTTAAAGAAAGTGAAATCAAGCTATTGGGACATTAGAAAATATTGGATATATACGATTTCATAGCAAGATGTACAGATCGATGGGGTGCAATTACATTTACTTCAGAAGACGAATTCTCAACAATGAATAGATAATTACCACACTATTTGCTTTAATTTGATTTTATTTTGTTTTATTTTAGTCTACTTAATTTGGTTAGTATACTTTTTTTACCCAATTATACACTTAAAAATTCATATTCAGATTTTTTCCTGTGAACAACGCTTTGGTGCATGGAAGACACGTTCTGGCAATGGAAAACTACTACTTATCACTTCTATTGTGACAGTTTCATTTGTGCAAGGCAAATCTACTACAGCAGATGACAGCTGGGCCGTGTATTCACCATTTTCTATATCCTCTTCACCTAAAACCGTAGGTAGCAGTTGATTAATTAAATCTTTTTTAAATGCTTGTATGCCTGATGTATTGGGTATAACACTCTCCTTTGATTGATCAGCCGTAGAAACCTTTGTTTCATTGCTGTTATTCAATGGAAGTGCGCAAGTTGTGGTCTGAAAATAATAAAATAAATAAATATATGTGTTCGAACTTATTTTATCAACTAAATTAAATTTATATAAATATGTATTATACATAACAAATTTACCTGCAACGCCAGAATTGCGCTGAGCAATAAAAATAGCTTAGTGTTGCGGCTCATTTCAATTACTACAAAATAAACTGCCTTCTTCGTTGCTAAATTGTAACTGAAACTTTTATATTTGATTTAGCAATTTTATATGGATTATTACAATAAATGCAAAGAAAGCAATAATTATCAATGATGCTATCTTTGTGAGTTCTCATTAATGTAGGCCACATGTGATCTAATGAGAACCGGTTGAACCGCTATTTCCTTAATCAGATCAATGCATCTTTAAACATTTATAAAGTTAATTCTTAGAAACGGCGTGAAATTTATTGAAATTGTCAAGGGTAAATATATCATCAAAGTAGGTTTAACAATGTCAGAGACTTGAATGCCTTTTGGTCCTCATTGTCCTTACATTCAAGTCAAAGAATGATACGAAGTCAGGGATTCAAAAATTTTTAGACGGAAATTAAGCCAGCAAAGAATAATCAGCGCAAGTCGATGAAGGTCGCAAGCTTAGCTTTAATCAAAAATCAAAAATTAAATTAAATTGAGTTTGGTGCTTAATTACAGACAAACTAATGGACTTCATCTTTAACTCCAATAAAGAAGAATAAGAGTTTTCGTTTATCAAAATTATTAGTTGTAGTTGATAAGTATTGAACTTAGTGATAAACGACAATTTTGCTATTATAATTAATTAATTGATGATATAGGTTCGTTTTTAATTGAAGCAAAAAATCAAACACTAACAATTTAACCCTCATACATAAATTTTGCTTTCGAGCTAGCCTTTACACCTGGTCCCCTATTTATATATATTAGTTTTTGTAGAACTCACCACCTAGGTAAATATTTTCCTATTAAAAAACATTTTTAATATATGTAGCTTTGATCAGAGATCTAAACTTTTCAAACACATTCAGGATGCTCCATCTTTTATGCTGGTATGAAAACGCTGAATAACTTTTACATTTACCAACCGAGCGATTCTATCAGATATGTTTTGAAAACGTAAATTCAGTACAATTTTTGCGATGGATCGCTTCACACCGAAGCAACGCGCTGAAATAGTGACACTTTATATCGAAACCAGTCATTCCATTGTGGTAACTCAAGATGCATATCGGGAAAAAATCGCTGCAAAATGCATCATGTGAGAGATCACCTGATCCGCTGAAATCGACGCTATAACACTTGAGATGCTCGGAAAGGTACTGGCGGACGCCGAAAAGGAGTAATTTTGTAATTGCTAATAGAGGTAGCCACTTGATTGATATTGTTTTCAAAAACTAAAAATTGCAAGGAACCAAACTGAATAAAAATACATTACTCATAGAAATCGGTTGTCTTTCTCAAAGTTATTCAATATGTAAATACCGTCGCCCTCAAAATGCTAGTTTAATTATGTGCTCTTCGCAATTCAATTGATATACATCCACACAATTGCTGATTTGTATGTAACAAACGGAGGAACTAATGAAAACATAATTTGCAAATGCAAATATTTCGGAAAATTTACTAAAGAACTAGGGAACTAAGAAATCCTCTTCTTTCACAAGTTTAATAGAGTTTAAAGCGAGCGACCGGTATTCTAAAAATGTTAAAGCCTTCATCCTGAATGACTAACGGATCAAACCACAGCCTAAACCACTGATAGTAGAGTTCTGAAACTTGAAGTGTATGTTTCGCATATGAAGTATGTACCCGATGAGATATTTATTTACAGTAGCTTTTGGTCCATATTACTATTCTTCCGGAAAGTTGTTAATTTCACAATATTTTTGGGAAATCACCTGTAGGAACAAAAGCTTTTTAAACGATAACGAAATTCACTAAATTTAACTTAATTTTCTCACAAAAACTTCCAGAGTTTGTAATGATTTGTACTTTCTTAAGGACAGAGTATGGTTTGACCAACATGTAAATTTATTTATTGCCGTCTTCCTTCATCAAGCCCGAAAATCGCTTCAGCAAATTGAAAATTATATATGTAACGAAAGTTGCATTTAAATGTGACAAATGAAGGAGACATAATTCTCTTATTACAGTCTTTTAAAGTGCTTCGAATAGTTATTATTTTCTATAAATTTAGTTCTTTTACATTGAAAGTAAAATTGCAGATAGGAACCACTTAGAATTAAACTTAACTGCGTGAAAAAATTGCGTAAACTTATTGTTGTATTTAACTTTTCTTTTTTTCAACATATGCCGAATTAATATTACCAAATTGGATAAGTAAGGATTCTAAGCCAAAACTTTCGTGTCATTTGTGAAAAAGTGAATTTCAAAAAAACATTGAATATTTTAAATTTTACTCTGTCTTTATTTTTTCTATGCACCCTTATATATTAAGTTAGTATTTATTTAAATAATTAATGAGTAAAACACAAAAATGATTACTAATATTATTTTAGAGCTTGCTCAAACTACATTTAGTAAACTATTAAGTACATTTAGTTAACAAATTACTAAACCAACAATTTTTAAGGAAATCCATTTGCAGTATATAAGGAATACATATTTAACAAAAAAAAGAATCAAAGATTTCATTAAGTGCACATTTTCCAAGAATTTCAAATATGTACAATATATATGCTTCACTATATAATTTAAGGAATATATTATTTTTTTACATATTTTTGATATTTGAATTAGGTTATTGCTGTTAAGAATAATATTGTTAGTCATCGCAATATCCATATGTACTAATATGTATTATATGTGCATATACACTAAATTTCCAGAACTACATTTTTCTTAATTTATGTCCACTTTTTGGATTAAAAACTAAATAACTGCAATTCTCTTCTGCTCGACAAATTGTCGTTGCGTTGCAATTCCACTTGTTTACAACCACAAATACGCACATTTGGGCAAAACATATATTTACAAATTGTGGCGAGTACAAAACATAAAGAAATGGCAGCGCACAACACAGCCCAATGTTCTCTTTTCAAAGGTAAATAATCTCCATTGCCTGTGTGCGCTCTCTCTGTTGCTGCCGTTGCGCTTTCCACCTGCGTTGGCCGCAACGTGATTACTTCTGGCTCATTGAAGTCTTCTAGTGGATATGTTGAAACGCACTGAGGATTATAATTTGAACATTATTTTCAAATTAAATACATTTTTTTAATTATATAAAATTATTTATTAGTTTTAAATATAACGCGTTTTATTAAACATGCCTTTAGCGTCAAAAGTGCACTCAATATTAGAAATATACTCAAATACGACGCCATAACTTCAAGCGAGCTTCCGCGTTCTCATAAATGCTTACACCAACTGAAATGAGGTTGCATGCGAGAAAGTTAGCTTGGCGTGAAATGCAAAAAGGTTGTGAGAACTTAAATATTATGTAGTGAGCGTCTTATATTCGCATTTAAGTAGGTATATACATATGTAGTTGTTTACTTACGTATAAGCTCGTATTGCCCTATACTCGTTATAAATATTAACCGCATGTTTCATGCAAAAAGACAATACCCTGCAGGAAATTTAAGTTTTCTTTCTTAACATTGGTATTTATTTATGGATTTTGCTTAGAAATGGGAAGCCTCACAGAAAGTAATAAAATCTTAAAACTGATATTAGTAGGAATGGGCCGCTGGCGTATCGTTTCTCTTACCTTCAGGCAGAAACCAAGGTGTTATGCTGATTTAAATCTCTACTTAGTGTAATTGAGATGCCTCGGATAAGATACATTGATGAGCTTAAGAGTAAGGCTTTAATGTAAAAGTGATTTTGACTGTACATATGTGTCGGGAACTTATCGCTGACTTATTATAGAAGTACCATCTGCAAATGTTGCCGACATTACTCTGTCCCATGTAAAAATATCTGCAGTGAACAATATATACAAAATTCGTCCAAGTACACTGTTTGCGGAACACCTGTCTTGAGTGGAAACTCTTTTGTTCATTTACTATTGAAGTCATTCGTTTACCGTTGTGGCTTATGAGCCGCAAAGCAGTCCAAACGTATCTACTGGCGGATTAAGGTTTTTCTTAGCTTTCAAAAGCGGTTTTTAATTGAAAGCTTTGGGAGACAAACAAATTAAAAGATTTCTCACGATTTTTTCTTCGTCGTGGCTTTATGCCAGAAGTTTGGAATTTTTGATATTTCACATACTCAGAACGTTTTGACATATGCACGTTATTTCTTTTGTTTCCAGAAACTCTGAAACTGAAATTATATCTCGAAAATTTCCGCGCGGTTAGTTTTTACAACTTTCGACGTGAATTAACTCAGCAACAGTATATAGATGAACTTAAATCATGTTATGGTTATGAGGCTCCACCAATGACCAGTGGTGGTCCATGAGATGATGTGGTGAATTCTATTAACGTCGCAGATCACTCCAAGGATAATTTTTTGTAAATCATTCAATATAAGTTGTAGTTCCTGAAACAACTGACGCTTTACACAAACTGATATTGTATGATCGCCGTGTGATCCACTGTGGTATTGATTATATTATTGTATTAGCATCTAACAAATATTACCTGAACATTTGACTGTAAAATAAACAATTTGAGCTTATACTTAAAGTGAACACATCCTGAAGTAAAAGTGATGAAACCATTTGATATTTGTTTTTGCCATTCCATTTTCGAAATATAAAAGCCAGCCTCGTATATAAGATAACCTGTTTAGTTGACTGCGTGATTCCCTCCACAATTGAAGCACTTTTTCCTTGCATCATAGGTGTCTTTTTTACACAGATTTAATACTAGATTTTTGGTGTTTGGCTTTGGATAAGCAGCTTTGGAATCCCCAATATTTAAGACTTAATCAGTGTTATATTAGTACCTTTTACTGAAATTTGTCACATAATTATACGATTTCGATAAAATTATGTAGCATTTAAATTTAATTACAAAATTATTAAACAAATTACAATTATCAATAACAGTAAAATAAATAAGTCACATTAACGCACCAAATCTGTACCAACAGATTAATCGAATTATCGAGATCAATTAAGCTAATTGTTTATATTGCATTTAGTGGTTAATGTGAAAACAGTAAAATGCAATGACAATACGTTGAAGTTGAGGAAATAATATAAACAGCAAAACATAATACAAACATTCGTGCTGAAAATAAACAAAAGGTGACAGTTAAAACTGCATTGAAAAACTGGTTAGACGTGTTTTACTCAACGTCTGCTTCTAATATATTCACTCATATAAATATATCTATGCATTTTTGTCTATTCTATTGTTTTGCTGTTAAATAATCGGAAAAATCAATGAAAATAAAAAAAAGTCGCCTAAGCCGCATTCAAATCCAGTTGATGTTGCTACTGCTTAAAGCGCAATTGCAAAAAAAATATGCAGTGAAAATATAGAGAAGAGTAAATGGCATAAAAATATGTCTTTGCATAATCACCAAGAAGGTGACGAAAAATGATGCTGAGGACTGGTTGTTGATAAAAATGTAAATTTTTTGTTTTACTTTCTTTTATTATAATTTATTTGTCTTTGATTTAAAATGTTTGTCAATTTACTTTATGTTACTTAATTTTGTTGAGGTTTTATTTTATTCTCTCTTACTTTAATTTAGATTAAAAATATTATATTTTAATTTGTTTAATTTAAATTTAATTATATTTTTTTGATTTTTATTATTTGAGTTTATTTTATTTTATTCAATTAAATTAGATATAATTTTTCTTGATTTATATAATTTAATTTTTTTAATTTTTTTTTTTTACTTTTTTATCTAATTTTGTTTTATACTATTTCGGCCTATATTTGGAAATTTTTTTTTTTAAGAAATAAAAATGTAAGCTCAGATCCGTTAAACTAATTCTTCTGTAATTTATTATTGTTTACGCATAAATTACGCAATCTAGTACCCTTAGCAAGCGATGAGGGATCGCAGGACGTACATCTGCCCCGAATTCCAGTTTCTCTCTCATCAATGACTGAATATTTTTATGATTTTATTAGTTAAGTTGAAGCTGTAGAGTAAAACGTGTTAACTTAACTAGAGAGTACTAACATACATGGCAATACATTTAAACACATGATTATGTATATATATACTCGCGAATAACTATGACAATAAAACAGATTTAAGCTACGAACCTGAACCATTTTCCCACACATCTAATTGTTTGTAGGTACGTATGTGTGTAGAAATGTCTGTCCATCCGCCATATAGCTGACACTTTTAAGCACCATCGCCCATCAACTCAGCAAATGAAATCAAGCATCAAATAAACTATGGCATCTATAAGATATAGGAGATGCAATGCAATCGAGTGAAACTTACAATATTAACAAAAAGAACAAGAAAAAACAATAGTAAATAATTGCTTGCAGTGTTACAGACTAAGCGTTTGAATTTTTTGATGTTATTTTTCCTGGTGCAATTAAATTTACTGTTGGTTGATGTTGCTCCTTTTTCAATGGAGTATGAATTCTCAAAAGCGAGTGTCAAAAGTTTTGGATAAAAGCACTTGAAAGTTTTCACTAGAGGTGAGATTAAATGTAATAATGACTGATTAATGCCAAAAATAATTGGATTGGTTCTACAATTTTCAATATAGAGGCTTAACTGATATAAATATTAACAATTTTAGATGTTTTTTCATAATTTTTCAGCAATATATTTATTGGAATACTCGTGAAGCTATCAAAAGTTAATAAAAATAAATATTTAAATAATTTAATTGTAAGTGATTTTTGTATGACAACGAAAAATATTTAAAATAAATGAAATGCATACTCACGTTTTCATTCAAAGCTTGAAACAAAACTTTTGTTTAATACTCTCATTTTCACTCTCAGCATTTAAGCTGCTAAAGCTTCGTAATAAATAAGTGTTACTTTACAACTACATACATTTTATATATAAATTCAGAGTTTGGCGCAGTGCTGATTTAAACGTTAACTTTAAATAGTAATAAATAAATGACAGTTACAATTTTAACTAATTTTTTTTTTTGAAAAAAATGGTAAATCCAGGTAAGCGAAGCAAGCCAAAACGTCAAATGTATTAAAAATATAATCAGACCAGTCTAAAAAAGTAATGTTATGCAATATTTATGGAACTGTGAGTAATTTTCCTACTTGAGAAGATATCTTAAAGGCTTGGATTATCATTGTTATTTTTGTTCTTTTGCAAAAAATTATTTATGTTATGCTTTGCAACGATTTTTTTTTAAAGTAGTGCATATTAATACCTATTTCTTGTATGAGCCAAATCTGTTGCCATCTGTGAAAATAATTCTCAAATTTTTTGTTTTTACCTTTACATATGCGGCAAAGCTAAATAGAAAAGGTACTATCTTCTATAAGAGTGTACAACTACTAGCGTATGCCGATGATATTGACAGTATCTCCAGGCTAGTGATTTACGTAATATCTCTTGTCATTAAACAAACTGTCATCGCATTCGGAAGTTGGCTCCTACGTCACCGCTGACTATCATAACTTTGAGGTCGTAGATAATTTCGTCTATCTAGGAACCATCATCAATGCCAACAATAATGTCAGCCTTGAGATCCAACGTAGAATCACTCTTGCCTACAGGTGCTGCTTTGGACTAAGTAGGCAATTCAAAAGTAAAGTTCTCTCCCGACGAACAAAAACCAAACTTACAAGTCGCTCATCATGCCAGACCTACTATATGGCAGAAAAGCGAGGACGATGTCATTAGCTGATGAGTCGACTTTGGGAGTCTTCGAGAGAAAAGTTTGGCGAACGATTTATGGTCCTTTGCGTATTCGCAACGGTGAATACCGCAGACGATGGAACGATGAGCTGTACGAGCTTTATGATGATATTGACATAGTCCAGCGAATGAAAAGACAGGGGTTTCGCTAGCTAGGTCACGTCGTCCGAATGAGTGAAAACACTCCAGCTATGAAAGTATTCGCTGCAGTACCCGCTGGTGGAAACAGAGGGAGAGGAAGACCTCCACTCCGTTGGAAGGATCAGTTTGAGAGTGACCTGGCCTCACTCGGTATTTCCAACTGGCTCAGAACAGCGCAAGAAATGGATGAATGTCACGTTGTAATTAATTCGGCTATAATTGCGTAAGCGTTGCCAACGCCAACAAAGAAGAAGAAAAAGACCTTTAGATATAATTGAATCAAAATATTTATTTATGGTTTGATAACGAAAAATCTCATAATACGGATAAATATTTTTCAACTAATTTTCTATTATGTGGCCCTCTTTGGGTTCGAATGAAATTTCAATTTCGTCTTTTAAGTCACTAATCATCAGTAATGAGGCTGCAATATTTTTTTATTTAATATCTGTATAGTATTTATAACCTA